TGTGCATGTCGTGTATAATATATAATTTATGTTGAGGCAATGTTATAATTATTATTTTAGTGAAATAAAACGTCAATTTTTCGTTAAATTATATTATACAATATACATGATGGTTTTAAAGTTCTAAATTTAAATATCAAATTTCTTGAAAAATATGATGTTTTAAGAGTCTATGTTTAATGTACGTATATTTATATTATTTTTAATTTTTTTAATTATTTGAAAGTGACCGTATATTTTTAATTTCATATTCCATAATAGAATATTTTCTGACAATTTCAATAAATAAAAATCAAACTTGAAAAAAGTATATAAATATTAATTATCTACGTAGTTGTAAGTTTAATAGTTATGAAAAAAAAAAAAAAATAATAATAGATAAATATTTAATTTTATGTTCAGAAAAGCTAAATGGAGTGGCAATCAGAAAAATTTTGGTTCATTAATCCGTTTGTCTAATAAGCTATAAATATTTGGTCTCTGGTTATAAAATGTATTTTTATATAGGTATTGAAATTATCGAAAAATATTCCGTTTCGTAGTATAAAATTAAAAACATTAACATGTATTTTTAACACCGTTTATATCTTTACCAAAAGTTACTGTTAATCTTTAAAAGAGAATCATCTCATTACGACAATGTTTGTTTTATCTCATCGGACAGTGAAAACCATAATGCATTTTACGTCATTACGCGACCGACCGGATTTTAATTATTTTCGTATAACGTTTTGTTGCTATTTTATATCGGGATTTAACTTTTACCATTTTGCGTTTCCTCTCACATCTCTAAAATACTTAACAAAACAAAATAAAATCATCTCTAAATTCGTAGTATTCCGATTTTAAACTTGCTATAGTGTGTGTATTATGATAAGCATACAATAATACGAAATAGCCGGCAGTCCAGTTCAAAATAATTTGCAGTATTTGCAGATGATCGAATCAACTAACAACAATTAAATATCGTACGAAAATTATACACCATTTCAATCATTTGAAGGTCTCGTGTTCGATAGCGCATGATAATAATTAGGTAACTACGAAAATGAGCATTATATTATATTTATGAATGTCGTATGTCGACTGTTGCGATCATTTGAATTCCGTTTAAAGTATTTTATATGCGGATGATTTAATGATGTTATTTGTGTTTTCAAGACTTCATTGCTACCGTGATCTTATAGATTTACACAATAATCACTATATATATTATATCGTAGACTCTATTATAGTAATATATACGTTATCTATTTTCAAAACTACATAGTTGTCAGATCGAACTCGACAAACATCTCTACTATGCACAGTGAATCAGTGTATACAAGGTGGTATACCAATGATCATCCTCTCCTCTTCTCCCCCTTTATATTTTAATAATGCGTTTTCTTAAAGTTCTGAGTTTTGAAACTATTGAAAATACTGTGGAAATAAAATGTTTTTAAATACTTACTCTTATTTTTGTTTTACCAACTATGCATGCTAACTTATTTTTTCACATAAATGTTTTATTTTTTTAAGTTTTCATGTTACTAAATCTAAATTTTTACAATTCGTTATTGACTTTTTGATTTATACATATTTAAGTACCTACCTATCAAGAATATTAATTCTTAAAAATGGTTTTGCATAAAATATAAAAATATGTAGATCACCGTTATTTCCGTCTATGAACTGTTCGTATTAATAATTTATTTCAATGATAAAATATTTCTATTTTTTTTTTTTTTTTTTTTTTTGTGGCAATCGATTTAAATTTGAATTAAAAATTAAAAATTGTAATATCACGATTTCTTCAGGTTCGATTTAAACATTGCAGTATTCCATAAGTTAAGTCTTATGGTTTGTTAAAAGCTGACTTGCATTATTGTCAGACTGATAATAGTGGCTTTGGTAGTTAGTGGTAGTTTTAATATACCTACAGTTTTAAATACCATGTATTTAAGGGTACTTGAAAGTTATATCAATGCTAAAGAGTTATAATGAACTATAAAATTATTATTTTGTTACTATATACTCGCGGAAAAACCCCGATATTTATACCGTTTATTTCTCTTCAACAATAATGAACGATTGACGATTCGATAAATATATTAATTCCGTGTTTCCACCGCAAAGTATCAAATCGTTTATTGGTTATTGTAGTCAAATCTAAATTTGTTAGGTTGTAATACATGTAATCGTAATTCAATTTATTTTTTATAATTATGTTATAATTTTAATGAAAAATAATATAAAGAAAGAATATAAAGAATATGCGTATTCTAGGCAGAGTTGGGTGCAATCATCCGAAAATAAGCACAAAATGTCAACATAAAATTTTCAAATACATTTTTAAAGGAAATTTGGGGCTAGCGTTGCCACATGCTCACTGCGCTCGTTCAGATATTCAAAACGAAAATATCCCTCGATTTGTTATGCAATACCACCTAAGGTAGGTCAAATGGTTAAAAAACAATACCCATCATATTGATAGCAACGGTTGGTAATAATTTTCGAATATCATATCTCAAGTTCTTATCATTTTCGGACCAAATTCCACTCTTCTAGGCATAACCCTCTATCAACTTTACATTCGCTTTACGGAGGCCACATGAAGTCGACTTAAGTTAACAAAATCACATACAAATGTCATAATATATAACGACGAGCCTGTATGCGCACATTTGTTATATGAAATAATTATAGCCACAATTTTATAGAAAACAATTTTTTTTTTTTTTACATCTGTTGTCTTTAACCGTTTAAACTAAATATAATAATAACTCGAAATTCGTGAAACATGTCATATTAAAGCGGCTAGTGTTTCAGCTGAGTTTTAGCGGTATGCAACGCCTACGTGAGATATCGAAAAGAAAGGCATTGTTATACTGTTTTGTGTAGTTAAGAATTGGGTGGAGATGGTGGCGAGAGAACCCTACGAAATACCGATCATTAATCGTCAGACTTCACACTGCATTAGTACGAGTGATACTATAGCAGGTAAATCATATTATACGCGCGTAAGTGTGGGTGCGCCTGTTTGAATTGTTTAGTTTTAATTAATGTAACTTGGTTAAACATGAGGATATATATGTACGTAGACGTCGAAATCGCTCTAGAGTTTCACCTCTATAGACAAATATGAGTGTGTGTATATTTTGCTTATGCTTATGCTGTACGCTGTACAGGGCAAGTCACTTAATATTATCACACCCATTTTTCCTAAACAATGATTTATTCAAATTCTGGTTTTTAGGATTTCTAAATATACACCATATTTTCAAAAATATTATTTTTATTATTTAACAAAAAAAATTACTGTAATGGTAGAAATAATTTTTTTTTTTTTTTTTAATGCATAATTTTACTTATGTTAATTGTTAACCAGGGTTTTTTTTTTGAAAACTATGAGGCATCTTTATCTAAATTTACACAATTAATTGTATAGATTTTAATGTGTTATTGTATTAAGTACCTACCTATCTACCAAAAAAAGTAAAAAAAAAAAAAAAATAGAAAAATAGTTCAATAGATATAATAAATTAAAAATATATGAAAGGGACTGCCTGTTATAATTTAAAAATAATATTAATATTAAATTACTAATTTTTAAAAATTATAAATACATTAATGATAAATGCTAAATATTATATTTAGTACATACAACTATTCTTTTAAATTTCGATTTAAATTAATCAACATTTTCAAAAATTATCAGTTCAACAAAAATGTACAGTTGAAAAAGGGTTTAAAAAAAATGTTGTACCACTATGAAATAGTAAATAATTCTTAGTACTTATTTGAAAACGAGTTTCTTCTGTATTTTCAAAAATTTTAATTACTAAGGTTAAAAATAAATTTAATATTATAAGACAATATGGAAGTAAACATGCTTGGTGGATTATCCTGTATATTATAAATTTACGCGCAACATTGGCGTTTAGTTTTAAAAAAGGCGTATTTATAAAGTCTAGATTAAAGCACCTAACCCGCGCCGTCACACGTCCGTCACCTGTCAGTATTTATAATTGATAAAAACAATTTCTGCAAGTCAACGCCTGATTTTACAAGTTCCGTAATAATTGAACTGAATTAATCTTAACCACTATATTATTGTGTGGTATAATAATATTAATAATATTATATTATAATGTATCTTACAGACATTTTTATAATTGAACGATATGTCATACAAAACTCAACGTAAAAATAACCTGTATAATAATTGTAATTTATACTATTAATATTTCGCAGGAATATGATGCACTGTTTAAAGTAATAATAATGTTTATCACATACTACCTATGATTTTTGAAAATGTTAACGTTTCATATTAGAAAAAAATCTCTTTACAACCCTTTATTATAATGTATGAGTAAATTGAATGCTATTCTATTAGAAGTTAGCTGATGTTTAGCGTTTACCGTAACAAATTATATGCTGTTAATTTACCCCTTCTTAGATTCTTTTAAATGCAAACGAAGTGTAATTACTGTATGCATGTCTATTACGAGAATTCATGCAAACAATTCGTTTTCTATATCTGATTCTTCATGTGTAATGCAAATTTGTTTTCAGCTAGAAAATTAACATTTTAATGTACTCGTAATTTAAAAATATCAATAATAAATTTGTATCAAATTGATTCTTCTGAAAACTTTGTTAAAAGCCAATAGATCAATTCAATATAATATAAAATCACGTGAATTTGATATTATGTGTTTGGTTCAAATTTATAGAAAACAAATACAGAACGTTTACATCCTTTTAATTTTATATTTTGTGTTGAGAAAATATCTCAACCGGATGTGTTGCTTCTGTCTTACTATAGTATCTATAAAATTACCAATTTACGGTCAGTAGTTCCCATTTAGCTGCTTTTTTTCCCCTCGACGCGTATCTCTAGTTTGATTTCCTTGTAATACCTTCATTTTACATTACCACCACTACTACCAGCAGTCTTAAATCTAACATTTTTGACGACATTTTGCTAATTTATTTTACCATTTTGTTTTCAGAGTCGACCGCAGACAAGCGTACACGACGGTTGTGCCACTCTCAACGGCGGGTTGGGACGACATTCGTCTTCCGCATCGTCGTCCGGCGTACATTCAGACACCGCTGCCGAGACGGACAACGTGAGTATTATTGTTTTATGTTATTCTCACTAAATGTACGCGCAAATGTGTGAGTAGATGTGTGGGTGTGTTATATCGAGTAAACACTTAACTGTTTCGAAAGGTTTATGTGCGTGCGCGGTACGCTCATGTTTTTCTTTTAAACTTGAATGGAAAAAAAACCACCTGAAACTTAGCGAAGACTTTTCAATTTATAGTGCTTGAACGCGCCTGACCTCTTCTATGATTATTATAAGAAAACTTTTGTCAAAATCCGCGTTGTGCTCGCCAACGTTTTTCAGGTCCGTGAAAAGTATAATATATATAAAAATCCTTCCACGGCTTGAATACCCATTTATATATATATATATATATGAGGATTATATAATACCCACCAAAGTATATGCATATATATACGAGGTATAGCCGTGTGAATATACAGGGTGCTTAAAGTTTCACAAACTTTAAGATTTATCTGTGGGGTGGAATCGAAAACTTTTTTTTTGTGAATTTCGAGTGAAAAATCATAATTACGCTAAATTAATATATCTATATCTCATTTAAATTTCACTCAATCTAATAATAACGACAAATCTTGTGGGAGAATTAATTTTTGTTTGTAAAACCTTGCGGGAGATGAGTATTAAGACAATAACTTAAATATTGAATGATATATCGTAAATATTCTTAAAAATAGATATCGTATTTGTAAAATCATAAAATACGTTCGCTGATGATATTATGAGACTATTATCAACGTTTGTATGGATCAAAATGTAACGCTCTGTATGCATATAGGCTAATACTACGATGACTTAGGTGATTTTTTTTTATTTTTGTTTTCTTTATTCACTCGACTAAATTTTTATAATAAATTTATAATATACCTCATCTCTAAGTAACATATACATAATATTTATGCTACACAAAGACCAGATATATATACATAGGTACATTTAGATGTCAATCGTAGTGTATATTTTCTGTTATATGCTATGATCCATGTCATAACTCGAATTCTTTAGTAATTTTTATCTAACTCAAATTTACTCTTGAGAGAAATCTATTTTTAAAGAATGCAATTATTGGAATACAAATGTATTGTTTTTAAATTTCTAGTTTTGATAAAAAAAATATGATTTATTCAAGATTCAGTATAATGGATATTATATACAACTTTTTGTTTGTCTTTTGCTGTTTATAGTAATCTGTACGAGTGTGGTTGGATTTTTTTAAATGATTTTTTTTTTAGTAACTTATTGCATTTTATACAATAGATTCTATGATGATTAACAAAGATAATATTTATATATAAAACAATGTCTACTACATTTTTAAATATCAGAGTAAAATTTATTTAAAAAAAAACCGTTTGGAAAACAAACAAAGTTTAGAAACTTAAAATGTAAAATATAATACATTTAAGTTATTTTATCTTTTTATTTTTCCATCTAAATGAGTTTCTGTTCTAGTACTTTTTGATGAAGATTAAAAGTCTGCGATAATTCGTCGGCAAAGTTTTAATGGACGTTTGAGTTCACAATAATAATTGCTTTAACAATGCTATAGATGAGATTTAAATAACGAATATTATTAAAAAAAAAAATGTATTCAATTGTAATTATATCTTAAAATTTATAAGCATATATAGATTTGAAAACACAGCATCATTGTATATATATATTTTAGAGCGGGAGTTACACTATCTATTGATCATAATTTTAAATTGGGCCTACTTCAAAATGAATATTATTAATACCTATGTGTATATAACACATTTAGTGCCATTTAAGCTTTAGTCGTGAATTTTAAATTGGCTTGTATAAAAGTGGCCGTGTACTAAACACAGTTGTTTAAATATAATATAATTTATTTGTATTCGCTTTTCATGACTGTTTGTCTAAGTATAAATAATATATTATGTATATGATATATACGTACCAAGATATGTATTTTATATAAGTGCTAAGGAAATAGGTACACTATTGCTTTACGGTCTAATGCGCTTATAAAGGATGTGTGTATGATGCATTACATTATAATATATATATATATATATATATATATATATATATATATTAAATAATTAATCGCACTAGCAGTCACCTGCTGTAATATAATATGAAACGAAATGTGTCTGTAATAACTGCAGTTATTATATAATGCATTAATGTGTGAAAAAATTCTTACGATTGAATGTCGTTATATTTGGTATTTAAATATATTATTTTTTTATTAGATTATGAGTGAATACGCATCATTATTTTAGTATAATACATTAAGTTATTTTAGAAAGATGTATGTAGGTTAGGTTATACATATGTACGAATCTGGATATTTTTCAAAAATTTCTATCTATCGAGTTTTTTGTAACTTTTAAATTTATTGAATGTGAGTGATTTTTTCTCTGTTCTATTTCTATTGTTTAAATCTAAATAATAAGTGTATACGGACATTTTATAAATAGTATTTTGAGTTGATTTTTAATTTTTTTGTGAATAAAATAATTGTTATGAGATAGATAAATCCTCGATCTAAAGGTGGTTCTAAGAAAGTTTCTTTAGAAACTTCATATAGATACATTATTTACCATATGTTATGTTTATTATAGTTGTTGGTGGTTTTGTAATAATGATTTTGATAAAATAATAATATCCGCTTAACATATTATACAACTAATTTGGTGACTAGCAGAGTATTTTCAGTAATATTATCAGTATTTTAAAATTTAGTGCACACCCGTCTGTGAAATACATACACATATAATGTATAACTACTTTTACTGTATGTACTTAGGTACTACTTAATATTTTATAAAACAATCGATTTAAAAAATATTTCTTTGACTTGTATTGATATATTGATCTGAAAATCTTTCTTTTTAATTTGTATGTGTAATATGACTGTATTATCACTATTATAAAAATACTAAGTATTTTTAAAATAAACTAGTATTGAAATATTATAAAGAAATTGATAATGTTCTAAGTATAATTTAAATTAAACAAATAATTTATATAATTTTTTATTTTTGGATCTCTAATTTAAAGATTCTAAAAATATTTATATTGTTTCGTCTCTAAATATGATTATTTAAAAAAAAATTATTTTATAATTTAATATAACTATGGTTATTGTGTTTTAATTTAATTTTTTGTTATGTTTTTGTTGTTACACAATATCGCAATTTATGATATTTAATTTATAAATACATAACTTGTATAAAAATAATCCACAAACATAACATTTTATTGTCTAACCTTTTAACTGAATGTAAGTTAAACGCCATATTATCGATTTATTCTTTTTGTTTACTCACATGTTGTATTAAATTATGTATTTATGTAGTGCTACCACAAAATTGTATTCACGACGTTATATTGGATACTAAACCAGTTAACATTTATAAATAAGAACAATCAAATTATATATAAGTATTATACAAAATTAAATAATCATTGAGGTATTTTTTTTTTTTTTTTTTTTTTACTAAAAATCATTATTGTATGCAAGTGTGTATATGCACTAGATAACAAATATTTTGGTAAAAAATAATTTAAAACAGAGTTTAGCTGTCAGGATTTTAGTAAATAGTACTAAAGGATAAAAATTCAGCTGAGACAATTTAATTAAAATAAATGAAAAGAAACACCTAAAGTTTTTTTAATATTTTTAAGTTTAACACTTAAGAAGTGTATTACAAATTTAATAAAGATTCTCTATAAACAAATATAAGTTAATTATACGCCGCGTTTGTTTAAGGTGTTGGATGTGATGGTTTTTCAGCTTATCTGTTAGCTGTTAGTCTCGACAATCGGTTATAAAATATAATATGTGTTTTATACGTACTGCATACTCTTAGTGGGGTAAAAATATATTATACTGACTGCATATTTTTTTTTTTTTTTTTTTTTTTTTTTTAAGAATTTACAATAATAAATTATTAAGTATATATATATCGAGGACTATTATATAATGTTATCGCATTTACCAAGTTTCAACTATAATTATAATAAATACATATAGAATATTATGTTATGTCATTTCACTGGAATTTATTTTGCTTTTTATAGTTGTTTGTTTGTGTTGAGTATAATTGAGTTTGATTGAGAATTATTTTATATTATTATTTACACGTTATAACATGAATTTGTATATTCGAATTCTGAATAAGGTGTTAAAATTATTTCGTCTTAATACTTACGAAAACTATTTTAAATTTACACAAATTTGATTGGATATTCGAACAAACCACATTTTGACGTATTTTATGTTTTGTTAATTCGTCGAAAAGTGTAAAATTGTATTTTTAATTCGTCAATTTACTACGTAACTATAATGATTAATAAATAATGTGTTTTCTCCGGATCTCTCTCACGATAGAATAACTTTATACTATGACATCATGTTTATATGATATGCAGGAACTTCGATCAATAATAACAAAAATGATTATTTTAAAAACTTTCTTTTTAACAATATTGATGTAATAATTATATATAATTCTATATTATTGTATGGAACCATTAAGACTTGTACATGATTGGTCTGAGGTTAAAGAGGTATTATCTTATCGAATATTTTTTTTATTATTATTATTATTATCATCATCATTGTAGTTAAAATAACATTTTATTTCGGTAATTACAGTTATTTTATTATAGGATAAAAAGTGCATCAATATAATGGACGATTGTACATATTATTTATAGTTAGTAAGTGTCTAAAAAAAGGTACTAGGATAGATTATTTGTAAAGATCAGAGCTCAGATCTGAATATTCTGTGCTGCGTGGTAGTATGGTACCACTAGCTGTGGAAAAACGACCGAAATTACTTACTGGTGTTTAGGATACAAAAACATTTTATAATTCAACAGTCGTGTTTGGTAAAGACATATTCACACTTTTACGCATATGGTATATGCAAATACAATATTGCGAAATGGTGAGATTGATTTATTTTTATTTATTTTTTTATTCATCCGTTTTTTTTTTTAGCTTGTATAACATAAACCCTGTAG